TTGTAAAGTATGTAATGAGATAAAATTGTATTTAAAAATCTAAAGATGTATCCAAATGGCTAAAATTAACTTTTTCAACACAAGGCCACTCTATATTGAATATTTATAAAAAGGCAGAACATTCTCACCTGAATGTAGTAAGAGGATTATGTATGACACAATACAGACTTTTTTTGTGCAACTCAAAAGCATTTCTGGTTGGTTGTAGGCAAAGGAACACCACACTCATATTTGCAGAGAATCCCCAACCCCCCCCCCCCATCCATTCTGCATTCACATACAAGCAGGCTGAATTAGCATGTTCACAAGACATACAAATGGAGAATGATACTCAGCTTTTGCACTCAATTTATTCAATGCATCCAACACCAGTCCTCCTCCTATGCAGCTACATAAAAGCTACAGAGCATTTCCTCTTGCAGTTGTTTCTCAATTAAACATCTAATCAAAGTTTGACCCAAAAATGAGTAAAAACAACCATGTTCATAGAGAGGGATCCATAGTTTGCAGTTGACAGGCAAGTTTTAATTACACAGCCAGCCATGGGAGCACAAGCGCGGAGAAAAAATGTGCTCAACATTTATATAGTTCAAGGGAGATGCATTTGCATGTGAAAGCCAGGTAGCCCCAGGAATTGAGGTCCATGCAGGTCGTTAACAGGAAGTGCCATTTGGCTCCTTTGTTCAAATAAACGTTCTCAAATACTGTGCTGCTCGCCAGAACTGTCACCTAACAGTCCCTCCTTTTTGACCCAACCTACCTCATGTGATGAGTTCAACTTTACAATTAGCCTCCTAAAACATGTAAATGGGTGTCTATATCTTCACATAAAGCCCTAGCATGGGACCACCTTAGAGCAAGGCCGTAGGCAACGGTGGCATGGGAAAAACTTCTTCACTAACAGGAAGAAACCTTGAGCAGAACCTGGCTCAGAGAGGAGGCCCATTTGCCTCTGGCTGGCACTGGGCACTGGGCAGACTGAGTGGAATACACATAAGCATAATGTATGATAACTCATTGATATGTAAAACTGAAGAGGAGTAAGCTGTGTATAAGTAGGGGTTCTTTGGAAATGTATAGTGATGATAGTATATGTAAGCATAGTGATAGTCATTATACACACAGGCACCTCCACTTAATGATGCATAAAAAACTGATATTGAAACACAAACACTTATCTAATTACCTCAGATTGTAAATAGAATACTAAAAATAATTATTACGATTATGGGTACCCTTGATTGGTCAACAAATTGCACACGAAACAACGTACAAGACCCCAAAAAGACAGTGACATGATTCCTGGTAGTTATGGTTACAGTCCTACTAACTCTGCGATTGGCCTCCCTCCCAAACAAAACACGATACCGGCCTCTCAAACGCCAAAAACAAACACACAACCTTGGAGTTCTCTCAGATTCCCACAAGGTATCTAGCCCAGTTCTCTCTGGCTTCCAATGAGGTCGAAATGAGGTATGATTTAAACGATTCAAACTGATGAGACAATTTGAACAAAACATTTAAACACAAACCAAACCGACAGACTATTTGAATGGGCACATAAAACAAGATGAACAATACCTCAAACTGATTACATTACATTAAGGACATTTGTTAGATGCTCTTATCCAGTGCGGCTTACAAGGCAAAGTGCATAAGAATGATACAAAAAGTGCAAAGATAACCCTAGAGTCCAAAGCGCCAAAGGTAACTGAATAGATTAGGACTCCCCTACCGACTATATTAGGAGAAAATAAAAAATAGCCTAGGTTAAAAACAAATCACAGTTAAAACAAGAGTAAATGAGGGTACAGACATTACAAAGAGCAAGGAAGGGGATGGGAGAGGTGCAGCCTGAAGAGGTGAGTCTTCAGTCTGCGCTTGAAGGTGGCCAGTGTCTCTGAGGGGTCTGGCAGGGGTGTAGGGTCTGATGATCTTCTGGGGGTAAGCTGGAGCTGACCCCTTAACAGCCTGGTATACGAGCACCAAAGTTTTAAATCTGATGTGAGCAATAACAGGCAGCCAGTGGAGGGCAGTGAGCAGGGGAGTGACATGAGAGTGTCTAGGGAGGTTGTAGATCAGATGAGCTGCAGCATTCTGGATGAGCTGCAGGGGTCTGATGGCAAATGCTGGAAGGCCAGCAAGAAGGGAGTTGCAGTAGTCCAAGCGGGACAGAACCATCACTTGGACCAGAAGCTGAGTAAAGTTGGTGGTGAGAAAGGGACGGGTTCTTCGGATGTTGTACAGGAAGAACCTGCACGCCCAGCTCACCACTGCTTGAAGGAAGAGTGGAAGCAACCAGAAGACAAGGAGGAGTTCACAAGACAGGTGACGACTGGAAGGATGTCTGGTGTGATTGACTGGAGGAGAGAAGAGAGAATCCAGTCAAGAGCACAGGTAGTATGATGTTGGGAGAGCAGGAACTGAGAGACATCAGCAGCAGAGAGGGAAGAGAAAGTAGAGAAACAGGGAGAGGATATGGGGAGAGGGGAGCGAGGAATGGTGGAAGTATTAGTGAAAGAGCTGCGCATGTCAACGATCCTCTCATCAAATAAAACTGCAAAGTCGTCCGCAGAGAAGGAGGACTGTGTTGGGGGAGGAGGGGTGCTGAGGAGAGAAGAGAAAATAGAGAACAGTTGACGAGGGTTAGTAGTAGAATTCTGAATTTTAGCTTGATAGAAACTGACTTTGGCAGAGGTAGCCAAGGAAGAAAACGCTGCCAGAAGAGACTGTTAGGTGGACAGGTCAGATGGGGCCTTGGATTTATTCTACTTCCTCTCAGCTGCCTGTAGTCTGGCCCTGTTGGCATAGAGGACCGCAGACACCACGGACTGGGAAGAGATGAACATGCTGTTTTGGAAACAAAAGGACAGAGATTGTGAAGTGCTGAAGAGAGAGAGGAAAGCAGAGTGGAAGGTGCAGAGTCAGAGGGAAGATTGAAGAAGGAGTCGAGGGGTTGAAGGGAAGCAGTGATCTGGAAGCAAGTGATGGTGAAACAGAGCAGATGTTACGGTTGACCGTAACACAAGGAAAGGGTGGAGGGGAGGCAGGATGGGGAGTAAGATGGAGGGAGAAGGAAATGAAGTGGTGTTCAGACCGATGTGAAGGGGTCACTGTGAGGTTTGAGGATGAGCAGTACTTCAGGATGATGAGGTCGAGAACATTGCCGCGCTTGTGGGTCGGAGGAGAGTGCAGCAGGGAGAGGTTGAAAGAGTGGAGAAACAGTAGGAAGGCGGCAGACTGGGAGGCTTCCAGGTGGATGTTGAAGTCTCCCAAAATGATCAGCAGAGTGTCAAGCTCAGAGTGTCTAAAATGGGGAGAGGTTGCTGGCACATCACCCATGTAGCCCCAACTTCATTTCGGAGTCCCCTATGCCTCAATGTCATTGTTGTATATAAGGAATAGCAAAGGCCCCAACACGATCCCTGTGGGACTCCACTTCATACAGGACCCTGCTCTGACACAATTCCTCCCACAGTTACACTCTGCTTTCTACCAGACAGCCAACTTCGAACCCACTCAGTGATAGCTCCTGTAATTCCTGCAGATTTCATTTTCACTATGAGCCTCTCATGGAATACTTTGTCAAATACCTTTTGAAAGTCTAAATAGATAATATCATAAGCTTGGTTTGCATCTAAACACACTGTAGGTTCCTCAGTCCAGGAGGTTTGTTAAGCATGACCTCCCTCTGCGAAAACCATGCTGGCTATCGTTTAAGATACCATTTTGTTCAAGGGATAATTACAAATTGTCCCTAATGATGGATTCCGGTAATTTACAAGTGATACAAGTTAAGCTGACAGGCCTATAATTTCCTGGATCAGTCCGGCCTCTTTTCTTCTTAGATAGGTACTACACTGCCTTGCTTCCAGTCATCTGGTTTTTCTCCAGTTCTAAGAGATCGCTTAAAAATAACTGTCAGAGGCTTGTAGACCACTTCCGCTAGTTCCCTGAGAACTCTTGGATATATTCCAACGGGGCCAGCTGCCTTATTTGTTTTACGTTTTTGAAGTTTATCTAGTACTTGTGCATCATTTAAATCAATTTCCTCCAAAAGACTCTGAACTGAATGCACCTGAAGGCATATGTTAAAAAACTTCACCAGAGAAACTCTCCACAAAGTAGCTGTTTAGGGTATTGGCAATAGTTTTGTTATCATAAACCACAAATTCATCCTTATTTTTTTAATATATATCTCTTATCTCATGCTTAATTATCCTTTTTCACGTTTAGGGTTCTTTGCATCTGGTGCAATCTCTCTTTCAAAGTGCGTTTTAGCTTCCCTTAACCAAATTAGTTATGTTTGCTAACAAGCCAGCTTGTTGGCCAACGCTTCAACGGAGGAAAAAAAATGTAAAATTCCTTCTCTGTCCCCTAATGGCAACAAAAGATTCAACTTTATGAGCAGATCAGACCTACCGTAGGCGAATAGGCCCAACTTATTTTTATCCGAATTAATGTAGGAGCACAGGGACTGTCAGGAGTCATGCTAGCGTCCCCTGATGACCCTCCCAACACAGGTACTGGGACCCACCCACACGAAAAACCAAAACACAGGGAATAAGGTTAGCAGAGACTTTATTGGTTTTTTAAAGACCGTAAAAACTCAGGCAGCTACCCGCTTTGACCCCCCTCCCCCTTTCCAACTCCGCCCTCTGTCTGTTAGCCCACTATTGGCTGGCCCTGTGCCACGTGGGAGAACTCCTGGGAGAGGGACTTCCCCGCACCCACACCGCAAGCCAAACCACCAATCAGGATATCCCCGTGCCCACACTCACTCCACTCAGTGTCAGATTCGGATCCCCTCCTGGACCTGCCCACACGGCACAGGCCAGTCCCCTCTTGGCCAACTCAGAGGGAAATAACGCACACAGGGAGGGAGATCCACACACACGCACATGCACACAAACAAAACTAAGGGTGGGGCATGATTCGGCCGCACCTTATCAGTTAAGGTTATCGTCCAAAAATTTATGTTAGAAGTTTAATCCAGGCGCGCCCCGGTAGCTCATCCGGTAGAGCGCATGCCAAGTAAGGCCCAACCTTACCGCAGAAGCACAGGTTCAAATCCGGCCTGGGCCCTTTGCTGCATGTCCCTTGATGACATGGTCCACCCCCTCCATTTGATCTGAAGTTTGTGGTCTATAATGACTACAATGTAAATCTAATGACAATTATGTCCATCATTTGACTCTCTTCTTTACACACACTGCAAATGTGAAATGTGTTCTTTAGTCTGAAACCATGTCAGATGGCCCTGGAGGGTCTTTCGATTTGTTTGGTTTGCTCATTGCTAAATGTTATCTTCCCCTCCCACATATGTTATTGTATTGTGGTGAGGGATGGCTTGTGGCCTTGATTGTTTCAATTGCAGTGCCACACCTTCGTACTTCATCATTGCTATCACGTGTGAAGCATTATCACTAATGAGTCTTCAGACATGCAATTGTATAATTCACAACAGCTATTTCCAAGTGTGACACATGATATTTGTAATAAATCTCTGGGCATTTATTTTAATGTTATTTGATATTTACTATATATGTGTAATTTGCTGTAGTCCACATGTGATGGGAACACGCTTGTAATGTCAAGCTTGTTTGTTCGATGTCTGTCACACACATCGACACTACACCTAACAATAATGAACAAAATAAAACACAGGAAATAGTAAGGCCAGCAAAATTGGCGTGGTGGGATCTACGCAGGACAACCCCCCCCCCACCCCCCACTAATGACATCTAGGGTTGCCTCCCGTCCTGTAAAATATTGAATCGTCCTGTAATTGACAATTACATGTTGCTGTGGTGGGTGTCCCTTGTTTTCATTTCTGAAAGGTGGCAACCCTAAATGGAGAGCTTTATTGCATACAAGGCAGACGCGGCAGATTTCTTGGTGTGTGGTTGGCCCACCAGGCAGGTAAGGAGAATGAGAGGTAACCTGCTTGCTCTGTGCATGGCAGGGTTGAGAGAACAGAATGAGAGAAGTCGTTTCTTCTTCTGTTGGGTTTTATGGCAGCCAGCATGCAAGTAGTTGTATTGCTTCCATCTTCTGGACAACTTGATCCATGCATTTTACTTAACCCATATGATATTACATGACCTCAACTCTGTTTTAAATTCTGCACATCAGTCCGGTTTTCCTTAAAAAGGCAATGATTCTGGGTCCTTTCCCCTTTCCCCATACTCCAAATCAACATTCCCCATCCCCTTTGTTGGCAAATGAAATTTGATCAAGTCTTCAACAGGATACATTGACTCATGTGCTTGAGGAAGCCTTAGCTCGCCAACCCCTACTCTTTGAATCCTCAGAGCCAGGCTCAGAGGGGGAGCCCATCTGCCTCTGGCCAGCACAGGGTGTACAACGGGTAATGAAGAGTGGAGTTGGCTGATATGAATCTTACTGACCCAAAAGGCAATTGAAATAAAAGTAACTTCAATTCATAATATTGACAATAACTAAATTAGAATAAACAGATTTGTAGTCAAACAGTAAATATGTATGATCGGGCAGGATGGGGAGATGGCTGAACCAGGGCTGGGCTGCGGTGATTGGGCTTCAGCTCCAGGCTCCAGCTGGGAGAGAAAAACAGTCAGGAGGGAGAGTATCTTTTCATAAACAAAACTTACCATCCTCAGATTTATTTTCCTTGGTGCAATTTGGGAATGACTCCTGTTCTGTATTTTTAGAAATAGTTACGTGGGCAGGATTTTGCTGTTACTACTGAATTTTTGTCTTAATGTGGTAGTGCTAACAGGAAGAGCTGTGTTAAGTGATTCAAAAGTTAAGTTTCATAAAGTTGACAGGGTTAGAATCCATATACTTAGGGTCTAAAGGAGACAGTGTGTGATCAAACCACTGGACAACTAAGTAGTGCACAGGGCACAGGAGTGCCGATTTGTACAATCTGCCCCCATATTCACAGTTTATCTATAGTTTATCAATAGTATATCTGCAAAACCCAGTGTCTCAATGGCTCCCATAGCGGTAGACTAGATTCCAAATCCAGATCAAAGTGAGGGACAGCCAAATATTGTGACACAAATCAAACACACACCCACAAGGCCTTCTGACTCATGTAGCATGGTTCAGGAATTACCTGACCTCTACGTTTTTGGAGAAAAATCACATAGTACATGACGGTGGGGGGTTTACATGTTTTTGACATTTATGTATTAATGAAGGAAAAATGCCCAAGCAATGTATGGAGTGAATTAGGGGAGCTAAACTCTGCCTGGGCTTCAGTTCACTTCATCCATGCTTGAAATTGAGGAAGCAGTGGAAAGGTTTAGGAAGGCAGTTTATAAAGCTCTAGGTACAGGTTCCAATCTGTATTCACTATATCTCCCCTGTAAACATGAAGATTAACCTTTTGATAACAAACACAGGGGATCAGGTTAGCAGACTTTATTATTTTTTAAAAGCAGCGAAACAACTCATGCCCGGGCAGCTACCCGCTTTGACCCCCTTCCCCCTTTCCAACTTCCCCCCCCTCTCTGTCAGCCCCCTACTGGCTGGGCCCGTGCCACGTGGGAGAACTCCCGGGAGAGGGACTTCCCCCGCACCGCACCGCAAGCCAACACCAATCAGGTTATCCCTGTGCCAACACTCACTCCACTCGCGCCACCAAGCCGGGCCTCCTCCGCACCCCAAAATAAAAAAACAAAAACCAACAGAAATCTAGGCAGAGACTGCCTCTCCTCCAGTGCCTGGGAACCGCCGCGGCCGCTTGCAGAGGGTCCTCACAGTTCGCCGCTTGCACCGGCTTGGGACGGGGAAGACTAAAGGGAGGGAGAAGCACAATGCCAAATCACCCCTCTGTGGGCTGGCAGAGCAGGATCACACACACGCGTGTTGTTAAATGTTCGTGGGATACGTCCCTCTTACCACTGGGGCTATGCCCCTGCCTGCCTCCTGCCCAGCCCGGGGTATGCAGCACCACCAGCCGTTACCTTCTTCCCTCATTTGCGCTGGTACTGCCACTCCCGCTTTCCCTTCCCTTACTCGGCCGCTGTCACGGTCCCAGGCGTGCAGTCCCTGCCCCACACGCTCTCCACACACGCACCTAAAAAAGAAATCCGCCTGCGGGATTCCTCCCAACGAAACGGAACAAAAATCAATATAACTAAACCGAAACCAAACGAAAATGAAACACCAGCAAAACTTCCAAAGGATCGAAAGCTTAAATAAACAAAAGAAAAATGAAAAACAACACTCCCAAATACTCAAATCCCCGTTAAAAATTCAACACACAAACAGGTTCCTTCCCAGCTGCCGGAACGCGAACTGCCTCATCCCCCGCTCTTTTATCCTGATCCCCTGTGGGGAGAGAACAAGAGACAGCTGCGCCAGATCACCAATCAGACAAAACAAGGGAGACAAACCATCCCGATCCACATACCGCACACGTGTCCCCAATCACCAATGAAGAAACTCACCCAAGCGGCGGCACGCCAGGCTCACCTCCTGACAAAATCGCCTCTCCATATGGCTCCTGTACAGGAGTTAACTCCTTGTAGCATCTGTGAGAAACCAGAGCATAGCTAGGCAGGCTGTTTTAGAGGGAGGTTCCATTGTAAAAACTGTGACAAGTAAGGACACTTTGCAAAGAACTGCAAATTAGTAAAAAGCTGGGGCAGAAATTGTTAAAAAAAAAAAAAAAAAACTCGGAAATTGGGCAAGGGTGTGCAAATCTGGAAATGAAGGTCTGTCTGAACAAAGTCAGCTCAAAGACATGTCAAAAGATGAACTCATTAGATCAATTCAATCGTTTGAGACGTCAGAATAGGATATGTCTGCCCCCATTGCATCAGGTGCTGAGGTTTATGGTGTAATATCCTCGTAGACACAGGGGCTTCAGTATCTGTTACTAGTATCCCAGGGTTGCCTTATATTAAGAGATCCATTGAAGTAACTGGTTTGGGAGGATCGCGGATCAAGGCATGCTTAACTAAACCTATATTTGAAACCAAACACAAATTTTGGATAAGCTGCATTTACTATTGCAGAGACCAGACAGAGGGAACTATTGTGGGCATGGATATGTTAAATAACTTACAACCTCAGTTGAACCTAGGAGATTCCCCGGCTTTAGATACCTTCCGATAAACATACTACAACAATTCTGCTTGTATATGCACGCTGTAGTGAAGATTTTGCACGCTGCGCAGAGGTACAGGTCACGGACAAACTTCCAGGTCCGCCTGAGGTATGGGAAGAAGACAAACTTGATTGCGGGTGCGTCAAAATGCCCCCTGTTACAACATAGAATGGTCGCCTGAGTGCGAGACTGCCTTTTCAATTTTGAAAACAGAGACATTGAACCTCCCTGGGGTTCAGGCTCCCCAAACCCACTCTTGCCTTTCACACCATCTACTCATGTAAATACAGAACACATATATACATATAAAACACACATTGTATAAGTGGTGCTTATACAAGAACATGGGGGCAGACAAAGGCTGATTGAATATTTCTCCTCCAAATGAGACGCCGTTGTCAAAATGATGCCTGACTGTTTACAAGCTGTTGAAGTGTCATTGATTGCCATTAATAAGTACACAGGAAATTGATGTTGTCATACTTCATTCTGTTCTGTCTTTTTTGTCAGGGAAAAGGTCAACAGCAGTATACGTGGCCTGATGGATTCGATTGGAAACAAGTCTTCTGATGCCATCACTACATTTGAAATGTATAACTACTTTAAACCCAGCTACTCTCCTCCCAACCCCTGATGAGGGACAACCTCATCACTGTTGTGTTGAAGAGGAAATTATTTTTGACAGTCAAAGGGTTTAGGAAACAACCATTCAGGGCACGTTTAACCTATATGTTGATCATCTTTTTATATAGATGGGGGAAAAAACACACGGGATGGGCTGTGTGTACACAAGACCGGAAACGTAGTCAAACATGGCAGACTGGTGAATCTGTCCGCACAGGTTGCAGAATTATGTGCATTGACAGAAGCATATACAGTAATGGAGGAACTAATGTAAACATATATACTGATTCACATTGCTTTTTAGTCCATGTCATGTAGTGAATAATGATTGTTCTGGTATATTGGTATGGCAAGACCC